GTATGCCTGTCATTTCCCTGTCCCTCACCTTATCACAGGCGGACTAAGCCTGTATGACATACTTGCCATACCCTTTGTTCACTTTTGCAGCATTTTACAGCGACTTCTTATGTATGGGATTCTAAAAATATAATTCAGTTTACATCACTCCATTATCCGAAACCTTCCCACGGTTCCCCACGGCACCCAGAGTAAATTCCACACTCTTGGCGGTGGCTGCAGACCCCGCTGACCTGTCCTCTGCCTTCCTCTTGTCATTCACCCAGAAAGCACCCCTCGTCCACTGTTTTCATCACACTGGCCCGTTTCTGTCCTCAAATGTGTTGGCCTCTTTCTGTCTCTGTGCTCTGTCCTCGCTTGTCCCCGCTCCACAATGCTTTCCGTGACTCCATAATTTCACGTCAGTCTCTGTTTGGCCATCAGAGCTCAGATCAATGGTACCTCCTTGCATGGGCCTTTCTAGGCCATCGCTAGCGGGGGTTCAGCCATTCCCTACCCCATTGTCTCAATCTAGCCTCTTCGTATTCTCTTACACAATCTTCTATATATGCATGCCCCCTGATTATCACCCGCTCTTTCGATGGTATGTTTGCCCCTGAAAGCAAGGCGTCAACTAGCTAATTTACCGCTGAATTCCCTAAACGGAAAACAGTCTTTGGCACACAGTACATGCCCAATAAATGTGACAACAAAGCCAACGAACAAACGAACCACTGAAAGCACTGATTTGTGAAGCAGAGTTTGACTAGTATCCTCACGATGCTATTTCTAGCTCAGTCACTTTGGTAAATTCCTTAATCTTTCTCATCAGTAAATTGGAGATAACGTTTGGTATGCACCCACCAAGTCACTGTTCCAGGGATTAGTATATGTAAAGCTCTTAGCAAAATGCCAGGCAATGATGTAGGTAATTAATAAATCATAGACATTATTCCTATTATTATCGTAATACAATTTCACTTAATAAACACAACTGTGTACTTGCATATATATGTATATGTGCGCGCACACACACACACACATACACACACACACACACACATACACACACACACACACACTTAAATGTTAGGAAGAAAACGCCCAATTCATCTGTATACCCACCTGTCTACAATCACAGGAGATTTGGTAGATTCCTTGGCTATTTCGGAAGCCACAATATAATTGCCCAAAGAGTAAAAAGCTCTTCTAATGATAGTTGGTTCATCATCAAAGAGCTTCCTCCACTGGCTGACGCAATCAGGTGGTGACTTTAAGAGGACAGCCTTGAGTGAATCCGCAACTGACTGGGTCACAGTGGTTTTACCTGCAGGTCATACAGAAAACATAGCACATCTTAACCCTCGCCACCATATCACTCCCAAAGTTAGTAACTCAGAAAGAACAAAGACATTCTTTCAACCTATAACTCAAAGGAGCTGATTAAGTAACATGATTCTTTATAAAAAGCTGCAGGCCCTTGGGAACCTAGGATTCCTCTGGTGGTAGGAGTCTTGGAGGAAAAACAAGCTGGTTTGACAAATTAATGGCCAACGCTTGCTGTGGCGGCCCCCCGTCAGCTCCGCCTCACTCCTCACGACACCCTTCAGCTGGACTGGGTCACGCGCTGCTCGTGTCTCCTGAGACCAACCCGGTCCTCGGGTGTCTCCTGCTGCCCTTGGGCCACACTTTTCCTGCTTTTGTGTTTTGGGCTAAATGCGGCACATCCACTAATTTTGACATCTGTTTGGCAGCTCCAAAGGCTTCTTCGCTCCACTTCCTAATTCTTTGACCTTTTGCACCAAGAGGGGCCTCTAATCTGCCTGTGGTCCCCGGACACACCATGCTGTCACACCTCTGCCTGTGCTGTTTCCTCTGCCTGTGGGGAGGGCCTCTCCCACCTTCCTCACCTGACCAGCTCCTATTTGGACTGAAAACACAAGCCAGGTGTCAACCCCTCCAAGCTGTCCCTGGCCATGACTCAGGTGCCCTTATCTCCTACACCGAGGCTGCAGTCGGTGCCTCTGGTGTCAGCTGAGGCTCAGGGCGCCAACCCTTCCCGAGGCCTCACACGAAGGGCTCCTGCATCTCTGTGACCCAGGCCTGCCCGGCTCCGTGCCAGCACACACAGAGACTCACCTGACGCTTATGATTTGACCTCTGTGTAAAGTTTTGTCTATTCCTGCAACCAATCCATTAGTCTCACTGCTATAACCAAAAGGTACTACTGTCTTACCTGTGGCATCCAGTCCTTCGATGACAATGACTGGGAACTTGCCTTTCTGGACGTGTTCCGGGCACTGGTCGACCAGGTCAAGCATGGCTCGGGCTTCGGGAATGAAGGGGGTACACTGTAAGACAACATCCATGCATTAGCAGGGAGATGACATGGCTTTTGCAGAAGCCACATCTAATTGCTGAGCGCAACCTTGCCTAACGCTAATAAGGCTTAAGTTACAATATGTTTGGCACCATGCCACAATTCATAACATTTTGAACCTGAGAAGGGGCTGGGTTGCTTTATTTATACCACGTGAGTGCAGCTGAAAGACTTGGTGACCGTCAGGATCACTCAGCCTGCAGCCCTGCTGACCCGTTTCCCCCAAAGGAGAAAGGACCATGGCTGACACACAACTGCAGAGCAGTGTCACGCGGCAACATGGGAACCACAGGCCCCGCCTAGAACAGTGTCAAATCTGGGATATCAGCTGCACTGTAGGCCCCAAAGAGAGCAGTGGGCACCCTGTCCTTCCCTGGGCATCACTGCTTGGGGGCGAAGAAGACCGCTGAGCACGCAGTCACAGAGGGAGAAGGCCCGGGTGTTCCCAGGGACTCAAAGTCCTCTCTGCATCGCCCCACTGCATGCCCTCAGCGCCTGTACCCTGAGGCCGGGACATGACTTAAGCGCTTTCAGAGTGTTCACATGGCCAGTCTTCATGACAACTGAGTCGGGTCCTACGATGATCCCCATCTATGGATTAAAGAAACTGACACAAAGAGTGTTTAAGAAACTTACTGAAAGTGTCACTGGTAACAAATGCCAGGGTTTGCATTTCAACCCAAGCGGCAGGTTCTGCATTCTTAACCAGTCTGGAATGCTACCCCCTAAACTTGTCAAAGGTATCTAAGGTCCACAGTGCAGCCCCAGGAGGCGGAGTGTGGACATCCAGGCCCTGCTTAGGCTGTGGTCAGAGAGAATCCTAGGCCCCTCTTCACGAGCATCTGAGGTCTATCAGAAGTTCCCTTCACCACCACCACATTAGGTGTTTTACATAGGAAAGAGAGAAAACCAACTTAGGGTAACAGAGTGACACAGGTGGCAGCCCAAAGTAGGCAGGCACTGTTAAGTCTAAACCACTAAACCGCCTGGCGTAGCAGCGGCCCCTTTCCTCCCGTGGCACCCCCAGCACGCATTTACAGCAGCCANTGAGACGTGCAAAACACCAAGCTTTTCTCTAAGAAAAGGGTGTCTTATCACCTAAAGGAACTGTTAAAAGTTCAAATTCTATTAAGCTTCCAACCTGATAGGACTAAATATTTTTTTCTCTACTGACCAGAGATGATGCTCTGCGGAAGAACAGATTATTTATAGATGATGGAAACGGACATTTTCTCCGAGTTGTAGATTGCAGCTGTAAACCAAATGAATTTCAGGAAATTACCACACTTTTGAAGTGAGGAAAATAAAAAACACCTTCCTGAGTGGGGAGAAAAAAGCAGCGCCATTTCTCCTCGCCCTGCTCATACTAAGAACATATCCGAGCACAGGAACAAAGCTGGGTGTGCCGGAGCCTGGAGGCTAAAGGAACTTGCTAGGGGATGGATTGTCAGTGTGAAACAGGGCTGAGTGTCCGGCCCCTGGGTTCAGAATTCAAAGCAAAACAGCAGCTCGCGGATGAGGAAGCCAGAGTCTTCCTACCGTCCTCAGGCTGCACGGACCCCCGTGGAGTCTGTCCACCCACTGCCACGGGTCAGGTGGTGGGAGCTGTAGCTTCGCTTTTTGCTGAAATTGAAATCACTGGCTGTCACTGGGAGAAAAATATTTTTGATACTTGACACCTTCTTAGGTGCTTTGCATTCTACTTAGCAGTCCATCAAAAGATGTCCCCCAATGTATTTCATCATTACCTACTATACAGAAATAATACGTTACACAGGTTTAGAAATATATTCCAACTACTGGAAGTGTACTATGCAGATATGACAGACATTTTTAGGTGCATCACGAATTATTTCCTTGGTACACATTCCGAAAAGATCCCAGGGTCGAAATGTTTTTAAGATGCTACATGATTGCTCCAAGAAGAGAGACATTTCACAGAGAGAAGGGTCAGCACCAAAGGAGATTCTGGTCTAGAAAACAAAACAGAAAAACTCCAAACATGAGCCACTGAGAGGGGAGGAAATGGAGAAGGCGGCCCCCCAGGGTCAGCACACCAGCTCTGTCCGCTCCCCAGCTGCGTCCTAGGTGGACACACCCTTTACAGTGGAGCGCCGGACCCTTCACACCCCGTCCCTTTCTGTGAGGCAGTCCCCATCACCCTGCTGCTGCCCCATCTCTAGTGTCACCCTGGTCACTTGGTCCTGAGATGGCTCAATACCACCAGTGACTGCCAGCCAGTGCGAAGGGTTCAAAGGGGAGAGGGACGCCCTCCCCCTGACCTTCCACAGGTCCCTTCTGCTCGCGGACTAACTGGAAAAACCTGTCAGCCACCCCAGCGGACGGACAGGAAGGGAATCTTGGAAATGTGCTCGTGTTGCTGGTTGCCACGTGCTGACCGAAAATTCTATTCCTGTGGTAGGAAGAGGAGGGAAATATTTAGGACAGCTAAAGGTCTATCACAGGGACAGAAACTCAAGTCACCCTGTAATGAGACAGAGCCAAGCGAAGGGTTTGTCGTCGTCAGTTTCTGGACAGGTGATGCCGTCTTATCTCAGACTCGCCAGTCGTGTTCCTATCAGTGCACAAGGAGCCCAAGTGGACAGGGAATCATTTCTTAGGGGATGAGAGGAAAATCCCGTTAATATTTGCTGGTGGAGAAGGGGTTGCACTTTCTCGAAACGATGTCTGAGACAAAAGAAAAACGCCCGCCCCTTGCTCAGCGAGCACGCTGCCGACGCTGCCCGACCCGGACATGCCGTCTCTCCACGTGCTTGCCCACAAGCTCCCTCCTATCAAGACCAGCACCTTCGGAAAACCAACACACCTTGTGACAACAGCACAGATTAGAAAGCCACCGCCAGTTTACTAATTTGCAAGGTACATACAGGAGGCATCAAACGATTTTCTCTAGGCCGCCAGCATCAGCTTTTCAGAGTGTTTCAAATCATTAACACCAATAACATAATTGGATGTCACACCTTCAAGAGCCCTAACACGATTATATCAGCTTTAAAAATATTTTCAACTGAAACCAATTACATACTTATATACGTAAATATATTATGTATAAGTTACTTAGTTCTTTTGGAAAATAGTACAATGTAGTTAATGCTAAACTTCATGATAATTGNATCTCAAAAATTTAGAATTCAGAGAAAGATAGATGATATTAGATGAACTGAAGGTAAATAAATCATGATTTCATCAGTTTGGATTTATTGTGGGATTATGATTAATTTTGAAAAAAAAAAGTTTTTTTTAATAAGGAAAGAAGGCACTAGCTTGAGATGAGAGGGCGTCGAGGCTTCCGCAAATCCATCTTAAGAGTGGAGAGAGACGGAAAGGGGGAAGGGAGGACGGATCCCAGACGGCAGAGTAACTAAGCAGTGTCTACTTCCTCCTGTTGACACAATAAAATTACAACTAAACTATAGAACAGTCAGCCTGGAGAACCATTTGGAGTCTGGCTGAACAGAAGGTTTATAACTAAAGGTATGAAGAAGCGTCCCTGTTGAGACAGGTAGGAGGGGCAAGGTTGTGAATCGGGCCCCACACCTGCTTGTGGTGACTGAAGGATAGCTCAGCTGTGGAAGGTCCCCCCGGGGAAGAGCGAGTGACCCCAGCCCCCCACACCGGCCTCCCCAGCCAGGAGTACTGGACCCAGGAAGAGGAGCCCCACAACATCTGGCTGTGAGAAACAGTGGGGATTCGGACCATCCGGGCGGGACGGAGGCTGCAGGAAACCCTGACATCCTCTGAAAGGACTGGTGCACAGACTCACTTGCAGGCACTCACCTTGGGCTCCAGTGGAGGGACCGGTGACTCAGGGGACATCAGAGGTATATGGGGGTGGGGGGTGCTGAGGAGTGTGGCTTCACGGAGAGGTCTGGAGGACAGTTGCCATTTTCCCTGTGAGGGAGCCTTCTGAGGAGCAGGCGGGTGGGCGCCATCTTTCTTGTATTGAGCCCGCCCCCTCACGGCCAAATCTGAATCTGATTGGCCTGGTGAGCTCTGCTCACTCCACTCTGGTGACTCCCTGAGACCCCATTTAACCCAACTCACATATGGCACAGGAGGCTTTGTCAGCGGCTGAACCTTACAGGAGCTGGCAGGTGGCAGCTGGCTTCAGAGTCTCCTGGCTTTTCCCAGAGCTGCCCCAGACCCTGTGCTGGTGGCAGGCATCCTCAGTTTGCAGAGTGCCTTTGCCCATGTGCCATAGGTTTAGCACTGGCAGTGACCAACCATGGGTCACTTTGTAGCTCCTACCAGGTGGTCCGTGGCCAGTCACAGATAGTGGGTGATTTTGGCCTCCACCAGAGCCCCTCCCAAGAGGCCCCAGAACCAATATACCTGAAGGTGAGCTTCAGACCACAGCAAAGTACCACCCAATTAGCCCCGCAAGGGGCACACCCAAAGGGCAGTCTCAACAGGCACCAGAGCCCGCTGGGGCACGTTCTGCTCCATGGGGTTAGCCCAGCGGCCCATAAACTATGGATGTGGCCAAACACCACAGCCAGTCAGTCTGAGGAGGGTCAATCCCACCTACTGACACGCCAATAGCAATCAAGGCTCAACTATAACAAGAGGGCACACACAACCCACACAAGGGACACTCCTAGAGCACCCAGAGCAGATGACCAGGGAGACTGTGCCAGGATAGGGCACCTACTATATAAGGCGACCCAGCCAAGACGGGGATGCAGAGAAGATGTACCAAATACACAGAAACAAACAGGCAGCCAAAGTGAGGAATCCGAGAAATACATCTCAGAAAAAAAGAATAGGAGAAAACTACAGGAAAAGAACTAAATGAAATGGAGGCACACAACCTACCAGAGACAGAGTTCAAAGCAATGGTTAGAAGGATGTGCAAAGAACTTAGAACTTCAATGAAGAAATAGCAAACATAAAAAAAGGACATAGGAACCACAAAAGGCCAGAAGTGAAGAATACAATAACAAATGAAGAATGCAGTAGAAGGAATTACCAGCAGACTACATG